AGATAGATAGATAGACGGACGGACGGACGGACAGACAGATAGACAGACAGACAGACACGCAGATGACAGACAGACAGACAGACAGACAGATAGAGAGATAGATAAATAGATAGATAGACTGATAGATGACAGACAGACAGACAGACAGACAGATAGATAGATAGATAGATAGATAGATAGATAGATAGATAGAAGACAGGCAGGCAGACAGACAGACAGACAGAAAGATGATAGATAGATGATAGATGACAGACAGACAAACAGATAGATAAATAGATAGACAGACAGACAGACAGATAGATGATAGATGACAGACAGACAGACAGACAGATAGAAAGATAGATATATAGATAGAGACAGACAGATAGATGATAGATGACAGACAGACAGACAGACAGATAGAAAGATAGATATATAGATAGAGACAGACAGACAGATGATAGATGACAGACAGACAGACAGACTGATAGATAGATAGATAGATAGATAGATAGATAGATAGATAGATAGATAGATAGATAGGTAACACATTAAAACTATTTGTAACCACTTAGACAGACAGACAGACAGACAGACAGATGATAGATGACAGACAGAGACAGACAGACAGACAGACAGAACAGACAGATGATAGATGACAGACAGACAGACAGACAGATAGATAGATAGATAGATATGTGTGTAACACATTAAAACTATTTGTAACCACTTAACAATATACATTGCAGAGCATTTCAGAGTAAAATGGTTATCTGATATTGTTCTATAGATATTTCAGCTGGGTTTAGTTTACCCAAGTGTGCAGTGCGGTTAAACATCAAACTGGCTAATCTGTGAGCGGCAGAAGAACTGCGCCCAGCTCTGAGCCGTGAAGAATGCTGGGAGAGCAAAGCACCCAAACACACTCTCTCAACTTAAAAGACTGCATGACCACACACACAGTCCTGAAGCAGGAAACACAAGTGACATGTCAACAAAAGCCCCACTCTGTTCTGTGTCTCTAGTTCGTCTCATCTTTCCTTCCAAATGGAAGGCCATTGTTTTTAAGTTGTTTTTCAGACTCAGTCAAAGAGTGCGCGCTGACCCGCAGAGAGAGAGAGTTCAGCATTTGATCCTGCACAACACACCTTATCTCATGTTCACATCAAATCTCAGTGTTATGATGTCAAACTCAAGAACTTTGTTCTCTCACACACACAAACACAAGACGACCAACCGAACGAAAGTGCGGCTGTCAAAGCACACTTAAAGGAACAGCTCACCCAGAAAGGAACGTTTTGTCATCAAATGTTGTGAAAGAAGGAAATTGAGCAACATTGCTTCATCTTCTCTCAAACCCACATGCAAATGAACATTTTAACTTGTTACATATGTATGAAAATACTAATATTTAATGTAAATATAACAATATAATAATTAGCAAAAATTTGAATATGTAAAAATTAAATAAAAAATAAAAATTGGATTATTTATTGATAGCAAATAAAAAATGTATCTATTTTATGACATGCATCTATATATGAAAATACCGATATTTAATTTATTAATATATTCTATCTATATAGACAGACAGATAGATAGATGCAATATAATAATATAATAATTAGTAATAAAATAATTTGATAATTATTCAATGATAGCAAATAAGCAAATGTGTCTTATGTATGAAATGCATCTATTTACTCACATTTTAACTTATTAATAATAATAATAATTATTATTATTATATCTAAAACAGTTATAAAAATTTAGCATTATCTATCAGCAGATTCTGAACCAAAATGTTACAGATAAAATCATATGAAAATATGTCTTTTGTAATATTTACTCATATTTTATTTAATTAAAATTACATTTATTATTTATTAAATGTACTTGTTTTTGTTTATTTAGCTATACGTAGCATTATCTATCAGCAGATTCTGAACCAAAAACTTTGCTAAACATCTCATTTTCATCTCTTATTCTTCCACAGAAGAAAGAAAGTCCTACACGTTTGGAAAGACAAACGAGTCATTAAATCATGACAGAATTATCATTTTCAGTACATTATTCTCTTTTAACACTGTAAAACTGACACATTTTCATCAAGTATAATTTGGCAGGTGATTTTTAGCCACATTAGCTTGCAGCACAATAATTACAGGTACGATCTACCTGCAGCGACCCAGTTTTCTGTGTCCTCCTCACAACTGAGCGATGCTGATGAAAGCATTCTTCCAGTAACTGTGTAAATTGCAGGTTCTGAACTTTAACCACTATAGTGCAGATCTTTAACCACTAGGCCTCTATCATCACACCCCTCTGTCTCCGACTCTCTGTGTGCGCTTTCTCTGAATGAATTACAAAGGATAACATTAGCCCTTCTTCACGAATTGACAGCTGTCCTTTCTTCAAACAAAAGGACGTCCCTCCATTTCTTCTGGATGTGAAAGCGCAGGGCGACAGGAGAGGCAGACAGATGGATGTTGATAAGTTAAAAGGCTGCTGGGAGGCGCAGAACAAGTGTGGCCTGTTCCAGGTGAGCGGAGAGGTCGCGTGTGCTGACCTCAGCGAAAGAGAGACACCGTTTCCTCCCTAAATCACTGTCACTGCTTTCATGACCTCTAATTTTCCGTCCATTAGCGGGAGATACCTATCTGTGCCTTCCTCCTCTCATCATTCACTCCTCGTATGGAGAGTTGACGAGGTTAGCTCTCTGATCTGAGGCACAGGTACTGCGCCTCAGATAATCTCATGATTAAATGATAATCTACTGATTAAATGAGATTAATCAGAACGGAAAACGCTCATAGCTGCTTAAACAATGATAGCAATGACATCGATAGTCACACAACACGCTTCTGATATCTGCAGAAGCCCATATCTGCCACAGATTAAAAAACAAGAAAGATAATTCTGAAATTTGAGTTTATATCTCATAATTCAGACTTTTTTTTTGCAAGTTTAAAACTTGGAATTGCAAGATATAAACTTGCAGTTCTGAGAAGAAAAGTCTAAATTGAAGGGAAAAAGTCGCAATTACTTTTTCACATTTTTGAATTTTCTGAAAAAATGCAGAATTGTGAGATGTAAACTCAGAAGTTCGAAATGTAAACTCGGAATTGAAAGAAAGTCAGAATTCCGAGTTTATATCTCACCATTTTTTTTTTCCTAAGAATTGTGAGTTTATATTTCATAATTCAGACTTTTTTCTCGCAATTCAGAGAAAAACGGTAAGAGGTAAAATCAGAACTGCAAGATATAAACTCGCAATTCTGAAAAGAACAGTCATAATTGAAAGAAAAAAGGCAGTTAATTTTTTACATTTTTTCCTAACTCGGAATTGAAAGAAAGTCAGAATTCTTTTTCCCTCAGAATTCTGAGTTTATATCTCTCATCTCAGAGGAAAAAAAGCCAGCATTGTCAGATATAAACTTGTGGGGAAAAAAGTCAGAATTGCGGATTTTATTTTTATGAATTTTTTTTGTGGAGCAGGTTGTCTGTTCAGCAATGCACAGAAATTAAGAATTAAAAACTGCTTTTTTTTATTTATTTTTTTTACATTTTATAATGAGTTTTGATATTAACTTTGGTTCCTGAGTGGTTGAAGTTAAGAAACTAAACTTTATGATTACAGTGAGCATGAAACAACTTCAAGTCCTTCTCTTTGACTGACATGCGATGGCTTTGAACAGTCTGACTTTAAAAAGATCTGAAAATATACCATCACTGGCGTCAGGCATCTTTTACTAGACTTTGGGTGTCTGACAGACAGCCTGATTTATGTAGACACCAATAAAAATAGAGAGTACTATATCTAAAAGGATTTTTTTTTATTTAATTAGCCTATTTTTAGGACTGCCAAGAATTTTGCACAGTAAAATTATTATTTTTTTTTTATAATATATTTTAATTACAATATTTTTTACTGTATTTAAATGAGTGATTAAATAAGAATAAAATGAATTATTAAATAAAGTATGTAATGGGGGAAAAAAATCGTAAATATTAAAAAGATAAAGCAAAATGTAATTTCTTATTTTTTTCTGTACATTCTGGCGTGAAATGTTTCTTACAGGTGTGGAGAGATTAACCCATATAGCATATTAAAGTCACTGTTTTATGCCAATGCATTGCACACTAATTCTAACCAATGGAGCCAAAAAGCTCAAACATTTAGTAAAGGCAGATATTTTCTATCAAACTTCAAAGGAGCCCCGCCATTTGATATATTACAAGTGCCTGTGTATATACCAGCTCAAGTGAACTCAGAGACGGCTCGTGTTAGTGATCACTGTAATATTATCCATACTAAAAGAGAGTGAAGAAGGCACAGAAGAAGGAGGAGGAAAACAAGCAGCAGAACTTGAGATTTCAACCCCGTACAAAGCATATTTCACTCATGCGTTTTACTGTTAACATCAACACTCCTGTTGCAACATATTTACGAGGCGATGCTCTGTTATCATTATTCAACTCGTCCCCCTGCACACCTATCACACCTATGCTCTCACCACAGAAACCAGACTGCTTACACTCATACCCCAAATTATACTGTCTTGCTTTTTTTTCTGTGTGTAATTACCAGTAATTCCCCTGTAAATGAAATTATAGTGGGCAAATGAAACCACTTGTGGACAACTTAAGTATAGGAAAACTTGGCTTCCCGTTCAGCCGTGACGCAAGTCTGGACATAAGATCCATGCATTGCTCTAAAAACAGAAGCAATCTGCAAAGAACTATTTATGACTCTCCACCCATTGGCCAGTATAAACGATACCTTTAAATTGTTTTGTGCCACTCATAAAACACAGCTTCACGGCTTTGTGGCAGGTACAACATTACACTTAAACCACGGCAACTACAACAAACACCTGTAAATAGCCCTGCCACAGAGACACATGAGATTAGCTGTTGAACAAAGTCCACAGAGGTGTCAAGAAGACAATGAGCAGAATTTACCTGGGGAATTTACCTCCAGTAGCCGCTGGAGGTCGCTGATGCTGTTGATTTCGCTGTGGGACAGTCTGTCGATGAAATCTTGAGGGATCGCAAACTCCTTCTGCCGACATAAAAAGAGGGCAGTTGCGGCATTTGACCAATCTAGTACGACACAGAGGTGTATTTCTGCGTATCAGCCGCGTGAAAAGTTGACGAGTCATTCTTTAGAGACATTTTCTAATCACAGCAACAAAAATCGAGTAGCCTACATGTGGAATATTTTACTGTTACAAATTAGAATAATATATCGGATATTTAGCCCGTATGGAAATAAAATGTGACTAAAAGAAGAAAAAAACATCTGTTCTCCTTATATCTATCAATTTTGTCTTCAGATTTTAGTGGACAAAATATATTACATCTAAATTCTCCCTCATTAAAATTACTGACAATGCCATAAAAAAGTATATGGAGTTAAAATGACAACATCTTGAATACATCAAGCGCAAGCCGCGTCTCCTCTTTTTATAATTTTATGCGATATTTGATTAGGTTTGTCAATAGGGGGCGATCTTCAATAGTCAACCCTGTTACCAAGATTTTGTACAGTAAAACGGCTGTTATTAAAATAGGTATTTGAATAAATATCACCTATGCACATGGCCAATAATGTACTAGAAAAACCACCGAAAGCCCTCGAAGATGGTCAACCCTGTTACTTTTTTTTTTTTACAGGCGTATCTATATCTCAACATACAAATATATAAATAAACGTAAATTTAAGATGAGATGACACAATGCATTTCTTTGTCTGGTATAGGCCTAGGTGTTTTATAACATGCTTAAAGAACCACCGATTTTGTAGAAGTAGGTACCGTTAAAAACTCTAATAAAAGAACGCTGTAAATATTCCAGAGAACAGCTAATCTACTTATCACGTTCACCCGCAACCACAATGCGTTGACACCATAAAAAAATAAATAATGATGTGGATCTAAGACACATTTAACATAGATCATTAATCCAATCTAGAAAATTACAGGGGAAAAAATAATAAAATTGACCTCATTATGATGAGACTGATTGGATTTAAAGCTCTATGACTATGTATAAGGTGAATTATATAGCCTATCCTGCTCCGGTGTAACAAGCTAGCACTTTTCTATGGATCTAACAAGGCTCTGCTTTAGTGGGATCTTTGGCACTTTACCTCAGCAGTTGCCAGCAGAAGGTGCGAGGTGAGGAGCAGAAAGCAGCAGAATAAGGTTCTCATCTCCTTCCAATGTCAATTTTCCACCTAATAAGAAAGATGCAGACTGTAGGAGCCTTGGAACCGCTCCTGAGCGCAGAGTCCAGAACCATACCTTGAAGAGATCTCCCTTTAAATGACCCGAAGCACCAGCTCAAGTCTACAGAGGAGAATCCAAACTGCCCTGGTACTCCAGGTGCTGGTACTGGTCCAAATGCGCCCTTTATTGAATCTCAAATGTGATTTAACTTGCAAAAGGTCGTCATGGCTGTCCAAGCCTGAACAATCCAAAGACAGAAACACTTTTGCATTGCCTAGGTCAGTATATATAGATTAAAACTCAAAAGAGAAATGCTTCACAGATGTTTAGAAGTGAGACAATGCACCTCATATAGAACTCAGCACTGGATCTTCATGAAGTATGCCGTGATGCAGTGGAAGTACAATCCCAGGTTAGTATCCATGAATAAAGCAAAAGGAAAGAGCTCAGAGTTGGTCTTGTTCTCTAAAGTTCGTGCACTGAATGCTGTCTCATGCACGTCTGATCTGCGGAATATATGCGCCTCCCCTCGCGCTCCGGTAATCGCCGATGAGCGCTCGAGGAGGCGGTTGGCTGGAGCTGCATATGAAATTTAACCCTTCAACCCCTTACTGAGGCACTCATATCTCAAATTTGCATGTAAAATGTGTCGACTGAAGCCCTCGTTAAAAACTTAATAACAGCACCTGCAACCCATTTAGCTGTCACTATTCAAAATATAGCTAGCATATGACCTCGAATTACGTAGTTTTTTTTTAAATATAAAACTCTTCATTTATAAAATATTAAGTAACAAGGAATCAATAAAGCAAATGCGCAATTTGCCTCTAGAAGATATAGTTCCTGACACACGATAACAGAACGTTCATCTATGTTGCGCGTAGTGATATAGTAACTATGTGAACGGCGTTATGTCGAAACTGTTAATATGTGCATTATGAAATAAATAGTTTGGGTCCTGTAAAACTAGACCAAACGAAACGTTAAAACACCTGTTTAGCGATGCGAATCAGTGCTTCGCCCATAGCGGAGCGCTTGTTGCATTGCAACATTCTGTGAAATCAGGAACTATATTTTCTAGCGGAAGGATACAACTAAATTTTTTTTTTTTGATAAAATAACTTTTTGTAAAACTATCTAATAAAATAGTTTGTGTGCATTTCTAAAACAACAAAAACAGAAGTACTAGTCTTCTATTTATTTTGTAGCATTTATAATGGTTACGATAAATACTATAGGCCTAAATTGCAAAATAATACACCTTTTTCTTTAGAAGTTGCTTGCTTGTTTTATATTTACACAACAGTTTCTACTCTTGTTACCTATCAAGGTCTTCCTGTATTACTCAATTTTCACTTGAGCTTTCAGCACAATTCCGATTAAATGACGTGAGAAAAAAATCCTGGAGTCCAGCTGTAAGGCTTACTCACCCATTCTGAAAGAGAAGAGGATCAGATCATGATGTACAGTGACCAACAGAATGACTGCGAGGATCTGAAGGAGGAACAATGATCAGAGGAAATGAAACTTGAATGATGCAAGGAGAGGAATAAGAATTGTGAAGGAAAAATAAATCAGAAAGCCACCTTCGGCTTTATAAAGGCACTTTAATATATATAAACTCTTTTATGACATTATTAACAGAAAGTAAAGTCAAATAAAGAAAGTGAGAGTGAAATACAGTGAGCTGTCTAGTACCTGAGAGGGATTCCCCATTAAAAAGTGCTTTCACTGGCAGCTGAGCAGTATGTTCCTATAAGAACATCATGCCCAATAAAGACTTCCACAGAAGCTGGCATGCAGTAAAAACAGCCATAAAGTTGTGGAATATGATCCAGGAGTAGATGAATGTTTGTTTCCACAGGCTACATGTAGACCAGAATCTGTGAAGTTCTAATGACAGAAGCCAAGCGAAAAAATGTGAACGTTTAAGTTACAAAGTTAGTAACAGAGCTAAGGAGTAGGAAATGCAAAATAGAAATAAAACGAGGCGACAACAAAAGGTAGTGAAAGACCTCAAGACTATAAGAACTTGATATCGTGACAGACAGACAGACAGACAGACAGACAGATAGACAGATAGACAGATAGACAGAGAGATAGATAGATACAGACAGACAGGCAGACAGAGACAGACAGACAGACAGACAGACAGACAGACAGACAGACAGACAGACAGACAGACAGACAGACAGACAGACAGACAGACAGACAGACAGACAGACAGACAGACAGACAGACAGACAGACAGACAGACAGACAGACAGACAGACAGACAGACAGACAGACAGACAGATAGATAGACAGACCTATATGAAAAGACAGACAGACAGATAGATGTATAGACCTGCAGACAGACAGACAGATTTTTAGACTTATGTTTTATGAATATGACCAAGCCACGCAACCAGTAAACAAAACAAAACTTCACCTCCAGACAAACTCACACGCTCGTCTGCTCCTCCACTGATATCACTGAGTCAGAGGTGTTTCTCCCTGAGCCGAGACGCTTTCAGTGATGAGACAGCACAAGCTGAATCACAGCATATCTGAGCAGCGCACACAAACACACCGTTTATACAGAGGCAATTAAAAGATTCTTGTCCAAAGGTATATTACGTTACTCCACCAAGGAATCTGCCCTCTGTCCAGTGTGTAGTACACAGTCTTCTGCTCTCAGACACTATCACAGTCGAAGAAAGTACACGTGAAGTTATTGCTTTCTGTCAGTCCTGCGTTATCTCTCGGTTTCGTTCCTTTACTTTGCCAGAACATTCACTGGGTTAATCTGTCTACATCAGCAAAACCAACAGTAGTAGGATGTTTTATGAAACTATTTTGAATTCTTGTTTGTCTGACCTTTGAATTCAGTGTGGTTTGTTTAATGCTCATACTTACAGTTAAGGGTTTATTTGTGTGGCTAATTCAGAAGAAATAAAAAACTTGTGCCATATCTCATAACCTTGACAACCACATAGCAAAATCCTGAAAACACTCTGGCTTTTTTGCATGCAAACTTTGCTCCACTCACATTTCTAAAATGTTAACATGAAAGAGTGTTCTTATACACTTTTAAACCCCATTTTTCTCTCAAACCATCCAAGTGCCTATATCGTCCCATGGCAGCTGAAACATAAAGAGAGAGAATGATTCGGTGTATAGCATTCCCCCTCTATTGCCACTTATTCATAAAAATCTTTAAATGCTCAGAAGAGTCAATGATATCAGTGTGATTTTTGGATGCTGTTCCCTCAGTTCAAAAAAATTGCAACGAATACTTTTGCATTTTCTGAAGAAAATGTTAATGGTGCATGGCACTTGTCTGTGCAAAACTCAGCAGCATAATGCTAGGGTTTTCTGGGTGGTTGCATACTTGCAAAAGGGCCCACCTACCTCGAGTCACTTCAGTGTAAATCTATGGGAGTTTTTTTTTTTGGCATGTTTTATTGTCTGCCAGGCTAAGGTCTGATTGCTTAGAAAAAATAGCTACCCTACAAGGTGCCATTTGAAGCAATGCAATGCAACAAATGCAATAAAAATCAAATAAATGCAATGAAAATAAAATAAAATCACCTCAGTGGTGCCATTTGATGCAATGCAATAAAATATAATAAAATAAAATAATAAAATAAATGTCCAACTACATCCGTTTTATAAGGTCTTCTACAAATAAATAAATAAATAACATACCTTACTTGCCTTAGTAAAAACCCCTAATAAATCAAAAGCACAAATAAAACATTGTTATAAAGGAATGTGAGCATACAATTTTCACTTAGCTTCACAATATCTCCAAGAAACACTGCATCACATCCAACAACACAACCCACTCATGAACATATATATATATATATATATATATATATATATATATGCACTTAGGGTGATGGTTCTAACAGTTAAGCTCCTGCCATCTTAACATACAGAAACATTTAAGTGGCCCAGGAACTTGAGGTTTTCCGAGATCTCATCTTTGTGACACAGACAGCTCGGTAAGAAGCACCAATAAATTGCTTTGGATTATAGAATTAGAATAGAGAGTGCTAGAGTTAGAGGGTCAAATAAAGAAAGAAGAGATGTGTTTTTAGCCAATTATTGAAGATGGCTAAAGACTCAGTTGCTCGGATTGAGTTGGGCAGGTCATTCCACCAGGTGGGAACAATTTGAACCACAAGCAGCTCTGTCTTGGCAAGGATGAGTTGAAGGTGATGGTCCTTCATCTAGCAAGAAATGTCTGTTAGACAAGCTGAGATGCGAGCAGA